TGTGAAGCCCATTTCTGGTGTCCCCCGCCGTGATATTGCTGGAATATTGCTAAAAGCGGAATAAAACCATACTCACTCACTCACTAGATACTTGAGTTGTACATGTACACGGTCACAATGATGTTAACCGCTCTGTGTTCTAGACTCGGTTCACCTACTATGAAGTTTGTCCGCCTGGAGCCCGTGGGAAGAAGGAGACTCCTCCTCATGGCCACTGTCTCTATGGTGGATGCGGGTGCCTGTTGCCCTGGTCAGGGAGGAACTGCCGTGTCGAGTTGAAGATTATCTCCCTTAGTGCACAAACACAGGTTGTTGCTGAAGGTGATGCATTTTCGTTACAACCAGTGTTGAGCCAGGTAGGTCTAATTATTGACTCAATATATTATATACAAAGGTAAATGAATGTGCCCGTGGCCTCATAGACATTGCTTCGTGTACACGTGTAATGTGAGTGAGTTAATATTTATAGTCACATCGACAATTTGTCAGCCATATGATGATGAGAAGAAAACAAGTTATACATTCATAAATTCATACAAAACCTGGCGACAATGGACAGTAAAACACCTAGAGTATCACAGATTGTTATCTTAAACTAGACTATATATAACAATACATTATACAAACGGGGAACAGATCATCAGCAACTGAACTCGGGACCATGGGGACTTATCAACAAACACATGCAAAGGCAAGTCGTGCGTTTACTTGATAAAATACGGGAACATATGATACAAGCCAAACAATGGAATTTTATCAGACATCAATTTGTCACTTTTGCCGAAAATTTGTAAATGTCCAATAGATGTCCACCATAAAACGTTTGAAAGTTTTACTTTTGTTTGTTTGTTGTTTAACACCGCACTCAGCAATATTCAAGCTATGTGACGGTGGTCAGTAAATAATCGAGTCTGGACCAGACAATCCAGTGATTGATATCATGAGCATCGATCCATCGATCGCAATTCGGATCGATGACATGCATCAACCAAGTCAGCGAGCCTGACCACCCGATCCCGTTAGTCGCCTCTTACGACAAACATGGGGAAAGCTTTACTGAGCAAGAGTCGTGTGACACTTTCTGGAAGAGTATGCTCATTTTTTCCTCAAAAGTTTTGAAATGTGGGCACCAAAGGCTGGAAGCGCTGGAATGCTGCTCGACATGCAGGAATCCTTCTTGCCATTCAGCCTTGTGGATATTGTATTGTCACACTGCTTCTTTTATGCATTGATCTATAAATGAATCAGATGAGGCGATTTCAATGGTATCTTTTATTTCTAGCTGAGGTGGGTAATTCATATACCTACGATATACCTATGCTCAGTTAAACTTCTTTCCATGGTTTTGATTTTGCTAATCAGAGCAGAAATTCTGAGTCGCCTGCATAAAGAAACAGATCAGCCAGTTGGGGAGCACAATCGGTGCCCATGGGGGATTTCACTAAAGCCTTAAATGCCTCGGACCCGTCATTTTTCAAATTGAGCAAAGATGCTGTCGTAAACCTGCAACCTTGATTAAAGTAGAGCTCAACTTAACTAAGAAACATGTCCATTGCACCTTCAGTAGGCCACAGTACATTCAGCACTACGTTATTTCTTCTGAGAACTATTTATAACAACGCCCCAATGTCTCCAAGTGGAGTAGTATGTGTTGTATACATGTAGCTAGTTTAGCAGACCTCAAATCAGATTAACCACTGGATAAAGGTAGTATGTACGTGAGGTATTCTGATTTTACTTTACACTCTCATTGAACCTTTTAGAATGAAAGCATGAAGAAATATTTTGTTTGTGTTGAGAACTTTTGCCATCATATGGAGGAAGGGCCTATGTAATGATTAACTTGCTTGATTAGTTGCTGCAAATATGGCTGAGGACCGTGTTAACTAGACTTGTGTCGATCATAGTACCGCACTGTATCTATGTAGTGCTACGATAGAATGGTGTCGACAAACCATAAATCGTCACCAGGGTTAATCAGGGACTCGAACCCACGATCACATCCTGACACGGCTAATGGATGCATCAGCCAATTGCGGTGCCTCAAACCAATATTCCTAATTGCCCTTGTTACGGTGACAACATAACACAATATTGTTCATTTAAATTTTTTATTAAAAATATTTTCCAATAAGTATGAACAAAGACAATGAATACACATATTTTCACATTCGTGTTTTCTTAAACGTTGCTCTCAATCAGGTTTGTACTAACAGGGTGAGTATACAATACTCAAGTTGAGATGGAGGCACTGTACAGAAAATATACATCTGAGGGGGTAAGGCCGCTTTTAGCAGTATATAAATCCACCGGAACACCATGGAGGACGTCATGAATGGGGGGATCGAACCGTGGTCTTAGGCTTGGTTGGTTGGTTGGTTGGTTTGTTGTTTAACGCCACACTCAGCGGTCTGTAAATTATCGAGTCTGGACCAGACAATCCAGTGATTGACATCCTGAACATCGATCCACGCAATTGGGATCGATGACATGTATCAACCAAGTCAGCGAGCCTGACCACCCGATCCCGTTAGTCGCCTATTACGACAAGCATAGTCGCCTATTACGACAAGCATAGTCGCCTTTTACGGCAAGTATGGGTTGCTGAAGACCTATTCTACCCCGGAATCTTCACGGGTCTCTTAGGCTTGGAGGAGAAAACACTTTAACCACTAGGCAACCCTACAACCTCACGATTTTGTGAGGCTAAACGTAATATTGTAAAGTACACTGGGAATACACAAAACATGTGTGAATTGCTATAATATATGAAATACAATCATCACTATAATCAATATTAGTATCACTTGTTTTGTTATTAACACTGACACCGATAGAATATGACCCGGATCTGTAAAGGACCACTTGTCTATAAAGTTGGCTAAGGCTAGGTATCCCAGTGTGTACCGATACTATGGAGAACCCCTAGGCTTGTTAGGAAGGTGGTCAAATGAATACATCCAGAGCAGCATGGCTCAACCACATCTGTATATATCCATTCTCCTGATTTGTAAACACCACTAACATGGCGGAACCCAACGTTGACCCACAGCAACAAAAAACTGAGCTTTGAAATTCAAAACAATTAGTGAAATTCAAATATTTACGTTTGCTTTAATTTTTAAATATGCTTAATAAATATTTAGAATGTAACTTGGCTGAACATATCCAGGGTAGCATGGCTCAACTACGCCTGTATATAGCCACCCTCCTGACAGACCGAAAGAAAATGTCATATAAACATGTTTCAGAATCCAATGATTATTTTCCTAGCAGTTATGACGTGGTAATGGCGTTATGTAATACTGTCCATCCTAATACCATTGGATTGGAAGAGTAATAAATAGGTAAATACTTAGGGTATTCGCTAAGGGCAGCAACATTTGTAACATGACTTCCAATTCCAATAGTAAATTTACAGAATTTAATCTGAAATTTTTCAATTGCTGCAATTTTTGAATAGCCCCATATTTCTGAAGTGTATAATAATACAGGCTTAATTTGACTGTCAAATATTTTAAAAAGTATATGTACGGGTATGTTCTTCAAACAATGCTGTAATTTCTTAACAACGAACAGAGCCTTATTTGCCTTCTGAACAAGAGAGTTGATACCAGTCGTCCAACACAGCCGATTTGAAAATAACAAACCTAGATAATTATAATAGGTAGATACATTAACATTAACATCTCCAAACCTCCATTTCTCAGTACTCCTAAGTTTTCCACCATTTCTGAAAACTATAATTTCAGCCTTACTAAGGTTTACTTCTAAACCCCATTTAGTACAGAAAGATTTAAGGATATTAAGTTTTCGTTCGAGACCATCTACAGTATCATCAATTATGCACAAATCATCGGCATATAATAACAACAAAATGTCTAGAGATTCTTGACTCACAAATATTCCCCTCTCGCCGGAGGTCTGCAACATTGATTCTAATTCAACAATAAGCAAAGAGAATAATATTGGGCTAAGGGTGCAGCCTTGGCGTACACCACTTAGCGTTTCAAAGTAGCAAGTTGCTGTGCTATTTGATAACTTTACAGCCGATTTCACTTTTAAATACATATCTTTAATGACATAGAATAACATTCCATGTATACCCTTATTTAACATGACATACAACAACAATTTTCTATTTACACAATCAAAGGCTTTTCTAAAATCAACAAATAAACAGTACAATCTGCCATTAGCTTTAGATAAGTATTTCTGTATTAGACTTTGCAACACAAATATATTATCGATGGTGCTGTATCCAGCCCTAAAACCTGCCTGAGACTCTGGTATCTTATCGTAAATGTCACAAAACATAGTAAGCCGTTTATTAAGAATAAAAGTAAATATTTTACCCAATACATCACTAAGTGTAATACCCCTATAATTGTTAACATCAAATTTGCTGCCTTTCTTATGAAGGGGAGTAAGTAAACCTCGAGCCCAATCCTCAGGAAAATTACCACTCTGCAAAATAGCGTAAAATAATATAACTAGATAAGGAAGAAGACTACCCTTGCAACACTTTATCATTTCTTGTAGAACTCCATCGGGACCAGCTGCCTTACCATCTTTCAAATGATTAATAGCATGTAAAATTTCTGGTTCAGTGATTTCACAATTCAAAATATCATTTAATTCTTCATCATTGCAGACAAAACAGTTAGATTCCTCGTGTTCATAAACAAAACTCTCAGCGGATGCAAGATTATCATGATCATAATAAGTTATATTCAAAATATTTTTAAAGTAGGAGACCCATTCAGATGGAGCTATAAACTGAGTTGCATTACTGTTTGTTTTTTTATACAAGTCCCTTCACTTGGTTCCAGAAGATCTTAGGACTACAAGTATGAGACATTAAATCCTCAAGTAATCGCTCTTCAAAAATCAATTTCTTTTGTCTACACATATTTCGATACGCATTTCTTAACTGTCTAAACTGTTGTAAATAGTTCAGATCACCAGTTATTCTAAACATATTAAGAATACGATATTTCTCATGTTTCAGCTCTTTACATTCGCTATCATGCCATCTTGCTCCTGAAAATGTATCTATGTTTGAACTTGTAATTACCTTCATATCACTGACAGAAGCACAAGTAATGATCAATGATGTCAATTTTGTAACAGCACAATCAACACCGCTAGAAATATCACCCATGAAATCATCAAAACTATATGATGATAGCGAGTCCCGAAGTAACTCAGAAAACGCTTCAGCCTTACCAGCACACCATCGGTATCTACAAATAGATTCTGCATTATCAGCATTCATGTTACTGATAACATTCTCTGTATCTGTAACAGCAAACTTAAACACAATGGGAAAATGATCTGACTCACATCTTGTGGCTACAATGAAATCATAATTAGTACTAAATAATTCAGATGAACATAAACAATAATCAACCATGCTGGCACCCCCACCAGCAAGGCATGTAAAATTCCCGCGGGGATCTGATATTGTTCTCCCATTCATCATATGTATATCAAGAGAACAGCAAAAATCCATTTAATCACAACCATAGGGGTTTACATGATCATCTGTCCACTTTCTAGATATGCTAAAACTGTCAGTTTTATAATTCAAATCTTCCAGTGAAGGAATGTATTTGTTGCCATCCTGTAAAATATAATCCTTTAAGTTGCCTGTTCTAGCATCCATATCACCCATAATCACAAAATCAAAATCTTCAATATCAGCATCTGGGATGCACGAGAGCAAACAGTTTTCTAAATAATCAATCCCTTTCTACAGTCTTGGGTCGCTCCGGACGGATGAATATACAGGGTGAATATGACGGCGGTCTGTAAATAATCGAGTCTGGACCAGACAATCCAGTGATTGACATAATGAGCAACCAAGTCAGCGAGCCTGACCACCCGTTACTCGCCTCTTATGGCAAGCATAGCCGCCTTATAAGGCAAGCATGGGTTGCTGAAGACCTATTTTACTCCGTATCTTCACGGGCTAGTTCTTGAGATTACGCGGAGTAAGGAAGGGGATCCAGACTAGTCCACTCCAGTCCTTGAGTTCCGATACATCGCGGAGTAAGAAGTCCATTACGACAAGTCCAATCTGGTTGTTGAGGGTTCATATACATATACGGAGGTAGGAAGCTTGACCTTGAGACTTGGAGGGAAAGCCTGTTGGACAAAGTTTGCTTGATATAAATTCAGAGGATGGCTGTTTGAACATACTTGTATACAGTCACGTTTCTGTTATATACATGGGGACATTATGCACATTTTTTTAGCAAAACAGTATAAAGGTCAAGAATAATTTGTGTGTTATACTATCCTGCTATGCCTATATACGTTTTTGACAAATGTTGTCTCAAGGTATAGTATAGTATAGTATCTTGTATATTCTACAGATGTTTGTATCGATTCATTGTTTGCATAATTCAGCATTCAGATACTCACCATTGTCCATAAGCATTTGTGTAGTTGACAGGAGAGTCAGGTGTGGGAGTCACGAGAAGGTTACAGCTGCGGTAATGGGACCTGTTCACATACAAATTCTGATTAGATGTTGAGTCATATGGAATGGAATGGAATAGAAACTACAGGTAAGATGTCTTTTTTCTTCGAATAGCCTACAGAGATACAATTAAGATGCATAATTTTCAAACATCAAAAATAAGATAGCTGCACGATATATCGCAAAGAACAATGAAGAACGAAGCGTGATTTATTTCACAATAAATCATTGTTCTATCATGACGTCATTTCTGGAGATTCGAACATGCCCTCGCAACATGACGTCGTAAATTGGACGACGTTATTGTTTATAGGGAAGTATCCAGTTAGTTGTTTCCAATAAGCTGGGCAAAGTCGATAAGCGCGATGGCCGAAGGATCGCATCCAAAAGTGGGCGAGATATGACAATCGACACTGTGAGAAAAGGTTGATATAATCGAGAATTGTGAGAATATCCAAGAAAAACCAAAAATTAACCCCCCTTTTCATAAATAAACTTGTTCGACATGGCTGAGGTCTGATTGTATTCAGGGAGTCCTTATTCGAATACGGGTAAATATTTGTAAAGCTTGTACATCCTATTAACGTCCTTCAAAAGGCTGTTCATAATGTTGATATCTCATAAGAAAATAAAGTATATAATTTGAAACTCACCTTACGAATTTGTTGTGTTGAAAATACATCCATCTTAATGGACTTGGAATCTGTGTACCTATCACGTGGTATCTGATGCAAACAAATGGCAGTGGCATCGGGCTGTGGTAATGCGACCTGTACATGAAGACATTGTGATGAGATCTAATTTCATATATACCAGGAACATTCATTTAGAATAGCGTAGACCAGAGGAATGTTCTGGAAAAGAAAATACAGATGGCATGCCCTGTATCTACGAATAAGTTTAAGATATAATTAAGATTCATGCCTTTCAAACATCAAATAAAGTATATAGTTTGAAACTCACCCTGTGAATTTGTTGTGCTGAAGATGCATCCCTCTTTGTGGTTGACTTGAGATCACGTGGTATGTGGTGAGATCACGTGGTATGTGGTGTGATCAGGGGCGATGGCATCAGTCAGGGACCGTCCTCCAGTTCAGACATACAATGTATCCAGCAGTAGGTCCACTGGGGTAGTATTGCTCATATAGCACATCATGACGTCATTCGGGCAAACGACGCTACCCCTCATAATGCCAATAGCATCGAACATGGTTAGGAATGTACTCCATCTTTAATTTCAAGTGTCAAGAATACTATTTGAAATAAATTGATTCCATAGCCAAGGGTAAATAATACTATACAAGAAATACTCGTGTGATAAGAGCTACTCATTTTAAAGTACGTACAACCTTTCTGCTTTATAATCCTTCGAAAACGTCACTGTCTAAAGACGCTAACTAGGTGAGGTGAGGTGAAATGGGGTTTACGTCGCGTCCAAGATTATTGCACTTATATAGCGACGTGCATGCATGTGTATGTGTGTGTGTGTGTCTGCTTGTACTAGTCCGGACTAATGCCGATTTTTAGTGCTAGCACTGAGATGCCGCAGTTTAACATGAATACCCCACTCAGACACAGTATACTGACTGAGCCGACCAGTACTTGTTTTAGCCCCTTAATGCCGAGCGCCAGACAGGGTAACAACAAGTACCATCTTTTAATGTCTATTGGTATGACGCGGCCGGGGATCGAACCCCGGACCTTCCGTTCTCCGGGGGGACGCTCTACCATTAGACCACGGAGGCGGTCTAAACGCTAACTAAATACCACTACCCGAGAAGATGCTTGTGAATACAACCGAGTCGCCGTTCAACTAGAAGGTGTTGGCGGGTGTTTCAGGTAGGAGAACGAGCCATGAAACATAAAACACCCCTCAACACCTTAAAGCCGCCGAGTCATCAGGAAGTACACATGACCATCCAGGTGTTGTAAGTGGACGATCGTCCAGAAAATCATGACTATGTAACGCTTATGGGCGATGTATCTGGTCAGTGAGCAATAGTGGCATACGAAATGTGCGTTGCCCCAGTTGGCAGTAGTGACATAAGACAAGCACGAGTACAATAGCTGCTATTAACAGTAAACTATTGATTCCAAGGTATTGATGTGTAGGTAGAACGTTTACGTTGTACACTGAGGCACAAACATGTTGAGGTGAAACTGAATTAAACATGAAGATATGTCCATACGGCCAAAATACAGTGCTGAGATACCTTCGTTATCTGGTACATTATAGGAAGCAATAAACATGTACATGTCAATTTAGTTCAAACATTCCAACAGAAAAATAACCTCTGTAGGCTGCCCTTAGTCGGAACATGGGTATAGAAATCAAGTGTAATTCCTGCACATGAAGCGATGTACTGCAGGTGTTAGGGAAGGTAACATTGACTGTACCAAACCTGAAGAAGAAAGAGTATTTTGTTGAACAGAATAATTCAGTGGCTTTTTAAAACGTAGATAATTCCATTTGAGTTGCAAAATAGTTTCGATAATGGACGAACGGTTACTATCGACACTTGTTTTACAAAGATATACATAGAAATAATGTCATTTACATCTTGAACTAAAATTAAATGAAGTTCTACTTACCGTATGTAGCGGAGAAACGCCTAGTTGACGTGGTTGCTGAGGCTGGCTGGTTGGCTGGCAACAGAGTAGGGCGACTCGGGCTGGTTGGCTGGCAACAGAGTAGGGCGACTCGGGCTGGTTGGCTGGCAACAGAGTAGGGCGACTCTGGCTGGTTGGCTGGCAACAGTAGGGCGACTCGGGCTGGTTGGCTGGCAACAGTAGGGCGACTCGGGCTGGTTGGCTGGCAACAGAGTAGGGCGACTCGGGCTGGTTGGCTGGCAACAGTAGGGCGACTCGGGCTGGTTGGCTGGCAACAGTAGGGCGACTCGGGCTGGTTGGCTGGCAACAGAGTAGGGCGACTCGGGCTGGTTGGCTGGCAACAGTAGGGCGACTCGAGCTGGTTGGCTGGCAACAGTGTAGGGCGACTCGGGCTGGTTGGCTGGCAACAGAGTAGGGCGACTCGGGCTGGTTGGCTGGCAACAGAGTAGGGCGACTCGGGCTGGTTGGCTGGCAACAGTGTAGGGCGACTCGGGCTGGTTGGCTGGCAACAGAGTAGGGCGACTCGGGCTGGTTGGCTGGCAACAGAGTAGGGCGACTCGGGCTGGTTGGCTGGCAACAGTGTAGGGCGTCTGATGCTGGCTGTCAACAGTAGGGCGTCTGAGGCTCTCTAGGGTAACAGTAGGGTAACCGAGGCTGGTTGGGAGGCTGGCAGCAGAGTAGGGCTAATGAGGATATCTGACAACAGTAGAACGACTGAGGATGTCTGGCAACAGAACGGCGACTGAAGATTATTCCTTAAGCTGAACAGGACTGGGGACAGGACTGGGGATGACTGTCAACCGTCTAAACGCCTGTCTGATGAAATCATCTTGATACTTTGTGACGACACCTGGAGTGAGCAGAAAAGTGTTTCGTTAACATTCATAAAATAACAGCTGTTACAGTTACTTATTAATACTAATATTAGAAAAAATAGCATCTGTCTAGTTAATACTTCGACAATTCTACGTGAAACGACTGCAGATTAACACGTGTCCTGGTAACACGCTATTCAAAGCATCCAATTGTAAGTATAAACACACATGCATTGTGTACCGTTTCGTATGCTTTACACCGCGCTTAAAGCATGATGTATTGGGAGTGCAACTTACACCTTCAGGTCGACTATGTTACTTGTGGCTTACAACGTTAGCAACGACCCACAATAAATGGGTACTGGGTTTTAATCAAATTCGGTATATTATTTGTTTAGAAAAAAAGAAAAGACTATATGAAACTCACGGAAGTCCTCTGTGCTTCGTCCAACTCCTCGTATGACTGTGTTGGTTGCCCTCGTTGCTGTTGGCGCTGTTGTCGTTGCCTTTTCCGCCGGACCTGGCGTTGGTTTCTCCGTTCTGTTCTTTGCCTGGCCTCGTCCGGTGTATGGTTCTGAGTGAGAAAAGTCATTGAAAATATAAATGAACAACATTTCATGACTGCGTATAATTATATGTTGTATTAATAGCTGCTAATGACATAAGATTACTTAATAGTTGTGATAAGGAATAGTGTGTGGCAAGTTATGCAATAAAAAAACTATTTTCAGTTTCAAGTGAAACCTGTCAGATCCGTTTTCCCCTTAAATATTTATAAGAAGTTATCTTGACCTTTAAATTATTATATTGTATTCAACTTTCTCTGGCAATGACAATTTTTTTTATCTATTTTAAAATCTAAATGCAACTTTCTTATCTTATTTATTATTATTACATTATTATATATATTCATATATATAAATGTTCTTGTGTGAGTAGGTGAATGTTGTTTAACGCCGCAGACAGCAATATTCCAGCTCTATCACGGCTGCCTGTCATCCGGACCAGTGACAAACGAGCAGCATGAGGTAGCAGATTACTCACAACGGGAACGATTTTAGAAAAAGTATTATGATATGTCAAGAAGCCTTAAAACATTGACTTGAGCTAAACGCAAACAATTCAGGTTTATGGCGAGATTTAGTTTCAACATGAGTGAATCTTTAATGGCTGCCAGTTATGTTTAAGTAGTTGAATAGCATACTTACTGATGGCACCGTCTCGGTCGCCAATGTAACCGTGGTTCATGCTGTTGCCGATGTTGATCCAGATGCGGTTGTGGGTGTGGGTGTGGGTGTGGGTGTGGGTGTGGATGCGGATGCGGAAGACGTTGCTGAGGCGGTCGGCGATGCCGAGGCGGATGACGATGCCATCGTCGATGTCATCAGCGACAACCTAAACAAAGGAAATGCGTGTTATATTGCGTTATATATGTATGCACAAGGGATCAGATTGACGGCAGTCACAGCTGTTATGAACCCATGGGACATGTTTTATTGTCATGGAGATTGATCTTTACCATATTATAAGAACAGCATATCCCCTTTCCCACACATAACACCTCTAGAAGACTACACAACGCCTAGGTAGTAATGAACTGAAGATTAATCTTTACCATATTATAAAACAGCATATCCCCTTTCCCACACACATCCATACCTATAGCCCCAGAAGACAACACAACGCCTAGGTAGTAATGAACTGAATATAAAACAAATGACTGAAATAAACGTGCATGCGACGTCACCCCATCTAACGTCTCACTTTCGACTTTCTCCAACGATCATCTCCTGACTAAATATACTACTCAAAAGAAGTTAAGGATCACCTGATTCTTTCATATTACTATAGTTAATCTCTCATGTCATGACAGATTTACTTTACCATTATGAAAGAATCGGGTGATCCTTAACTTCTTTTGAGTAGTATATAAGAAGTGAAAGAACACATTAGTCATGGCATGACAGATTATCTGTGGACATATGAGTCGGATGTTCTTTTACTTCTTTTGAGTAGTATTATATTGGAATTTTTTATGCATATACAAATCAGTCGTTTTAAATATAGATCTATTCGATCTTGTTATCTCATCAATGTCCTGTGTTGAAGTTCCGAGAACGGATACATTTGAAAATCTGACAGTTACAGTAATAGTCTTGCAGTTTAAGACGCCGTTACATCCTGGTGCAGACAGGATACGCCTCCACGGCCTGTGACACTTTGGGCCCACCTACAACATCGTGGTGCCACGCAATCACAAACATAAAGGACTGATGAAGGCGGCGTTAAACCTAAACATATTCATTGTGGTTGACTTACAATTCCTTTCAGACGCCGGTTTTCTTCTTTTAGTTCCCTGATATCCTCTTGTAATTTCCGGCTTTCCTCTCGGAGTTTCAACAATTCCCCGGATTCAGAAACCTGTCAAACATAAACAAATGTCAAATATTGCAAAAACAATGAACTTACACATACTGCCGGGGAAAGGAGAGTGACAACCATGCGTGATGGTGGCTAACAATGAAACAATCAAGGGACGGTTTATTCCATGGTGATGTTTTTGATACAGCTGTCATAGTTGTGTTCATGACCAGAACTGTAGAAAACCCCGTGCTATGACAGTAAATCAAACTTCCATTTCACTTTCAACGCGACGTTGTGGTGTATATGTTGGTACATTTTACAAGCAAGTTAAAAAATA